CCCCAAAACCCCAAAACCCCAAAACCCCAAAACCCCATAAATTAAATATTGCAAAAAAAGACTGATTCGTTAAAATAAAGATTAAATATTTAATGCTAAACGATTTAGTGATTTAAGTAAATTCAATTTCAATTAGATGCATCTGAATCACCTTCAACAGTCTTTATATGCCAATCCCTTATTCTTTCCTTCTTAGTCATTGATTCATCTTCAATATATCCATACTTGGCTAAAAGCTAATTGAAAGTAAGGCCTATAAAATTAAGTGGACAATTATTAGTACTTCTAACTTTATTAGATTTTTCCATTGAGCTAGGCTCGTTGCCACCAACCTTTCTTTTTGTTCTTGGATCAACCCTGAAGTCTTTCTTCAAATATAACATAGAAGTATCTTAGCATCTGTAGTCAGAATCCATATAATTTGAGTCTATCAATCCTTTTCCTACAATATTTGTCACTCCTAATCTATTAGTGATGTTCTATATTGATTAGTAAACTAATTTATACCTGCATATATAGAGGCAGGTTATCTGTTTTATCATTAACTCTTGGATATTACTTGCCTATAGAGAGAAATCCTCTTAATTTTCTGTGATCTTTCAATTGTGAGTTAAATTCTTCTTCTTTGACTGTAATGTTTTAATTAAACCCGCTTAGTTTGTTTATTTTTGCTCTATGTTTCTTAATCTTATCACTTTCCACTAATTCGTCAGAAGATTTCCCAAGTGACATTTTTCCAAATTGCAATATACCTTTCGATTCTAGTCTTGGATCTTACATTTACTTTCCAAGTTCAATCCTTACTTCTGTCATATTAGTCCTGTACATTTTGTCGTTTCTAGATAAACACTTTTCAAATTGAACAGAAGGAGAATGCTTAGTTTTGGAATAGGAATTAGGAAATACATCAAAAGGTACAAACCTCTTTTCATGAGCATTTGCCCCAGATATATCTGGTCTAGACATTTATAATCCAAAATTGATGAACCCTTTCGTTTTTATTCCACTTGAGCTATTGTTATCCAAGCCATAGTTATCTAGCATTGATTGGTTAGGTTAGATCTTTGAGTAGTGAGTCATTGTTGTTTTATTCAAGAATGTGTTGTTTCTATTTAAAGTCAACTCATCTGGTGTCTGATTTGAATGAATCTTATTACGAGTTTTATTCTATGATGTCTTCAATCTAGATCTAAAAAATTAGATATCTCTAGTAATATTAGCTCCATTCTTTGTGAATTTACTAAAGTTTATCTCTCCCTCTCTTCGAGTATCTGAATTAAATCAATCTCTATACTAATCAGAAAATAGTTAAACATCATCACTTAATGCTTACGTTATTTTCTTTCTAAATTTTCACATCATTATATGCTTGCAGACTTGAACTATTGCTGTCGAAAGCCTTATATATTGAATTTTTTAGGTTATCGTCTACTTTCTTCAATAAAAATAAAATTTATGATGTATTGTATAAGATTTTCAAATGCATATATTTTAGCTGTTACTTACCTCAAGTTCATTAATAAGCTTAGTGAACTCTTTGTTGTTATATTTAGTTTTATTGTTTTAAACAATTGTTTTCATTATTATATAATTATTAATAAGAAATTAATCTATAACAAAGAATATATCAAACTCTCCTCGGAGATACTTAGACTGATTTAGGGAGACTTAACTATCTATGATTCTTTCTTGACTGAGTTTATTCTTTGATTCTTTCAATCATTTTCTTAGTCTCCTCTTATTACTTCCATATTAAAGGCATACTCATATTCAATGTATCCATTTTTTATGCTGCAGAATTTTTATATTAAAGAATTTTATCCCTTATTTCTCTTTTTGCTTAGAAATCACTCCTTATATAAGTGGAATTCTCTACTGGAAACTTTGCAAAGTTAAATACAACAGGTTTATGCTGTTTAGTAGAAGATTCAAACTCGCTTTAGTATGTATTAAGTCGAGATGGATGATCAGTTGTTGATACAACTCTGGCTGGAATTTTTTAGAATAATGATTGGTGAGTACTACTTAATTAGCTATCTTTAGGAGAAGTTGGTCCACCACTTCTAAACTAGTTAGCAATTTTAGCAGTAGTAGCTTAAACCTTATCATCTTTTATATACTTACTAATCATATCTCTGTGTTTATCATCTGAAAACTTTCTTTATCTATAGAACCCGCTATTTGCATCTCTCAAATACTTATACTCTGATTCATCATTAAGTCTTTGAGCTTGTTTATTAAATTGTCTCTCCAGTGACTTTTAGAAATCCCTATCTTCTCCATCGAACTTGCTTTCTAATTCTTTGAGTTTCTAAATTTCTTATCTTCTTTCCTAATCAATCACACTGATCTTATTTTTGCTATTAAAATCTCTCTCTAAATCCAAAGGGTAGTATCGCTGTTCATAATGCTGATTGATATCTAGATTTGGATTACTCTAATTGGGATCTTGCATCTTCTCAAATATTCTAAGTTTTTCATCTTTATCCTTTACATAGTAGTTATTCTTACACTGATTCTTCAAATCCTAAATGTCCAAGTAAAACTGTTGCTTAATTGCAGCAAGTGGACTCATTCTACCTATTCCTCTCTCATTCGGACTTCTCTGAACTGAACTATTCAACTTTGACTTTATAGTACTGTCGAAATTAGAGTCTTGAACGCTAGTATCTATTTAGGGTCTTCTATTTACTGGAGTTTAATTTTATTTCATGTTAATCTTTGAAGCAAACATAAAGCTTTGTAACTTTAACTGCTTTTATCTCTCTTTAAATAGATCAGATGGAAGATTGTAATCCAAGTTCTATCTGTATGATATAGGCACTGCCTACTTTTGATCATTTAATCGAGGGGAGTTATTGCCATTTATGACACTTCCTGCTAGGTAATTTCTAAGCACTTCTCTTTTTTAAACTGAGTTTTCCATTTTAATGAGAGTATTTTGTTTGGATAAATAAACTTAATAATTTATGCTTTCAATTATATTATTAACCCTAAACTTGATGGGGTTTTGGGGTTTTGGGGTTTTGGGG